ACTCTTAGTTCCTGGAGTCACTCAAAATCGGTGATCATGGTGTTTATGCTGTAGAATGAGGACAAGCACGAATATGGATGAGATTTAGGATATTCCCTAATCCCCTAATTCTTCACTACAAGCCCAAGGGGGCACACGACAGAGTACTGCAACCCTACAAAGGACCATCTAGGGTTCAGACTCTTCAGGAATGAAGGAGAACATGGGGTTGACAGAGAAATCATAAATGACAGGACCACCTCGTGGCTTTTGCAGAAATCAGGACTGTACCCTCTACCTGTGTGTCCCTGATGATTGTTTACTTGCTTTTTTAATTCTCTCACCTCTTCCATTTGTAAATAGGATAGCGTGGTGGTGATGAATTCAACATTTAGGTCATGGTATTGCAGAACGTCAGTATCAAGTTGTGATAGTTGCAGAGCTAGAGCAATTAAGGATCATGACTGGGAGAACTTGAACTATAAACAGAGGCCCCAAAACCTCATCTCCAACTAGGATGACTAGGAATGCTTATATGTGTAGTTCTTGGTTGTACACTGAGCAATTAATTTATGCCAGGAGGAAATATTTTTGGAATCCTATGAATGGAAGAAGGCTGTTTGTACCTGCTAGGAATTTAAGGAGGACAAGGTTATTATACTCTACATTACTTTTCTATCTACTTAACACCCTATCTTTTGGGAACTGCTGAAAATTCCCAGGATTCATTACTCCAGGCCTCAGCAGTATTTAGGGTAGAAAGACAGGTGATGGAAAGAGAAGGATTTTAAGTGCAGCTCTTAGATTCGCAGTAAAACATCAAAAGGGGGATTTCTGGTAAGTCATGTCTTGAAAGACAATGTTTATAACTCTCCAACCACTTCTACCCCTACACTGGGGACAAAGATGCCAGAGACAGTCTCTTTAAGTTTCTGGAGAAGGGTGCCCATGCCAGTCGTTATTCAGACCAGAACCAGTCTGAGTCTGAAGGCAGTTTAGGAATTGCGTCCAAGGAGGGGGGGAGGCCAAGGGTCACAAGAGAAGCCCAGACTGAGGAAGTCCCGGTCTGGAATCTGCATCTGTGCCTCTCAAATCAGATGATTGGTATTATCAGGAGAGGCCCTGGGAAGAGGAAATGATAGAGTCAAGGGAGAAAATATTTGGCATGTAAGAGAGGAGCCCCTTCCCATCTGGTGCTTTCAGAGAATTCTGTAGGAAAGTGTGAGTTAAAGTATGTTGCTCTAGGGTAGTGTTAGCTATGCTCAAGAGAACTGCATCGAACTACAATAAGCCAATGTAAAGGTTGCCAGAGATACTCAGCTCTCGAAGGACGCATGAGCACGGAAGGGAGTAGGTTAATAAATAACTTGAAAAGTGAAACACAAAACCAAAAGCTTGTGCTCTTTGCAAGTTAAAAATTATAAACTGTTTACTGTTTAGAAATGTACGCATTTGATCTTTGTTCATGGGCAAGATATGATTTCTGGGAAGAAAGTGGTATTTAATTAGTTACAATTTCCACATTGAAACCGATTTGCTTTTATGTTGAGTATTTGGTATAAATAATGCTTTTAATATTTTATTAAAACAAGTTTCCTTGGTTAGAATTCAAATCCTCCGTAAGTGGCTGAGCTCCGTCTGAGCCTCTTGTATGACCAGCATAGGGCCCTGGGAGTACAAGGTGAGGCTTCTGGGAATCAAGAGCCTACCTTAAGCTTTCCCCAAATTCTAGCATCTGTGGCACCCACCAGAGAGTGAATCTTATACCAAAAATATAAAAGTCTCACAACTTAAATAAAAACATGATTAAAAACTAATCATCACCATGGGATGCCTGGGTGGCTCAGCAGTTGAGTGCCTGCCTTGGGCCGAGGGCATGATCCTGGGGTTCCGGGATAGAGTCCCACATCGGGTTCCCTGCATGGAGCCTGCTTCTCTCTCTGCCTCTGATTTCCCACCTATTAGATTAATTCCACTTGGATAGGGATCCCTGGGTGGCGCAGCGGTTTGGCGCCTGCCTTTGGCCCAGGGCGCGATCCTGGAGACCCGGGATCAAGTCTCACGTCAGGCTCCCGGTGCATGGAGCCTGCTTCTCCCTCTGCCTGTGTCTCTGCCTCTCTCTCTGTGTGTGTGTGACTATCATAAATAAATAAAAATTAAAAAAAAATTCCACTTGGATAAAAGAATCCTTATTTTAAAGGACTACATGGTACTCCTTTATATAGTTGTGCTATCTTTTTTTCAGATTTTATTTATTTATTCATGAGAGACACAGAGAGAGAGGCAGAGACACAGGCAGAGGGAGGAGAAACAGGCTCCATGAAAGAAGCTAGATGTGGGATTTGATCCTGGTAATCCAGGATCACGTCTTGAGCCAAAGACAAATGTTCAATTGCCGAGCTCAATTGGTGTCGCATAGTTGTGCTATTTTTATTGAACCAAGCTCCTACTGTTGGGGAGGAAGTTCCTCTGACCCTCAAGGACTTCTTGCCACCACCACCCCTCCCCCAAGAATCAAATTGACATGAGACAGATGAGCAGAAAGTCAAGTTTAATGGCGGACCAATATGGAACCCACACAGACAGGAGATTACAGAAACAATGAGGCAACACAAGGCCTCTAGGAGCTCAGGAGAGGGGTAGGATCTGAAAAGAAAAGGGGAGAAAGACCATTAGCAGGAAGGGGAGAGATGTTTGGAAAACAAAGGTTGCTCTGTTATACAGATAAGTTTTTTAGGTAAAGAGGATACTCTGTTCCCAGCTCTCTGCCTGATAAGGGCAGGCAGTTGAGGGGAAGATAAATAGCTTTTGCGGCTTCTGCTGGGTTCTCAAAGCTTTTGACTCAAAGTGATGTTTATGTCAAAATGGCTCATCTTGGGGCGGCCTGCCCTGCATCCCTATACTAATGTGGGGGCATTTAGTTTAGAACACCTGCTCTCTAATATGACCAACACTAAAACATCAGCGCCTCAGGATCCCTGGGTGGCTCAGAGGTTTGGAGCCTGCCTTCAGCCCAGGGCGTGATCCTGGAGACCCGGGATCGAGTCCCATGTCGGGCTCCCCACATGGATCCTGCTTCTCCCTCTGCCTGTGTCTCTGCCTCTCTCTCTCTCTGTGTCTCTTGTGAATAAATGAATGAAATCTTAAAAAAAATCAGCACCTCGTCTAAACATCTGGAGGCAATTGTCAAAGTGTCCATCAACATTCTGTATGATCTCACTTATACTTGGAGTTGAAAAAAGCCAAACCCTCAGAAACCGAGTAGGAGACTGGTTACCAGAGGGTCGGGGGCAGGGGCAGTGAGGAGATGTTAGTCCAAGAGTACAGACTTCCACTTAGAAGATGAATAAACTGGGATGCCTGGGTGGCTCAGCCTTTGACTCAGGGTGTGACCCCAGGGTCCAGGATAGGGTCCCACATCAGGCTCCTGCAGAGAGCCTGCTTCTTCTCCCTCTGCCTGTGTCTCTTCCTCTCTCTCTCTCTCATGAATAAATAAATAAAATCTTAAAAAACAAAGATGAAGAAACTTTAGGGATTTAAGTCCCAACGTTGAGATCAGTCAATATTCTATCATATACTTGAAAGAAAGTTACCAAGTAGGAGACGAATCTTGAATGTTTTCACCACAAAAAAAAAAAAAAACAGTAATTATGTGATGTGAAGGAGAAGTCAGCTGATGCTGGTGGCAACCATGTCACAGTGCAGAAGTGTATCAAACCAACAGTCTGTGCAGCTTACATTTACACAGTGTTATATATCACTTACACCTTGATAAACCTGGAAAACGGTTTTGAAAAGTTGTGAGTTTTACAAAATAAATAAATGTATATTTTTACCTTAACTAAGGCACTGCAGAAATGTGCAGTTTCAGAGAGTGAGGAGGTTCTGGGCTACTTGAAGATTACTGGCCACTTTAATTTTTTAATTTTTATTTTTTAAAGAGATTCTGTTTATTTATTCATAAGAGACACACAGAGAGAGGCAGAGACACAGGCAGAGGGAGAAGCAGGCTCCGTGTGGGGAGCCTGATGTGGGACTCGATCCCAGGACCTGGAGATCATGGCTTGAGCCAAAGCAGATGCTCAACCACTGAGCCATCCAGGTGTCCCAGCCATTTTTATTTTTTAAAAGATTATTTATTTATTTATTTATTTATTCATGAGAGAGGGGAGAGAGAGAGAGAGAGAGAGAGCGAGAGAGAGAGACAGAGACACAAGCAGAAGGAGAAGCAGGACCCACGCAAGGAGCCCAATGCAGGACCCAATCCTGGGTCTCCAGGATCACGCCCTGGGCTGAAAGCGGCGCTAAACTGCTGAGCTACCCGGGTTGCCCCATTTTTATTTTTAAAGCTTTTCCCTGGGGTCTATGTTTGGTGTGAGAAGCCAAAAAATCGTACTTCATGGAACTGTTCAGGAACATTTGAGGCACATACACTCATGTGTATGAGACACATACACATACATTTCTGCACATACACTTTTGCAGAAAGATAGGAAGGCAGAATCTCCCTGGCTTTGTCCCCATCCCCAGCTCCTACCCCTCCCAAATTTCCTTCTACTTGCAGTCAATTCAGTTTTTATTAAGTTTTAATTTTTAATCAAAGCAATACCTAGTTTTCAAAAAATAAAATAAAATACTAAAAAAAAAAGCATATAATGAAAAGTAGTAAATCCCTGCCCATCCTGCTCAGCTCGGTTTCCCAAGCCAGAGGCAAAAATGTTTACACCTGTTTAGCAGTTACATCCTTTCTTCCTTAAGAACATGCTTTAATTACTCTTTTTTGACTTGATAACATGAGGAATTTTGTCTTCCTGCTGTTTCAGCACCTCCCCCTCCCTCAGTATGGCCGAATCACTATTTTTAAATCTCCCAATAGCTACCTTGTTCACTTTAATAATATGATCCCTAAATCTGCCTTATTCTTTCAACTAGAGACAGAATCTGGACTTCCTGCTTTATGAGAATAGCGACCCCCCCCCCGCCCCCCGCCCCGGCCCCGGGGCCCCGGGCCAGCCCAGTTCCAATTCCTCTTTTCCCTCCCACTTGTTGCCTGGACCCTGCGCTGTGCAAGTGGCTAATGTTCCCATCCGGTTCTATAACCATCATTAAGTCTTCCCTGCTTCGCTGACAGATTTGGTCCAAAAATGGAAAACTGTAACTTCTGTCTCCACCGAAGTGATTCTTCAAATATGGTTCAATGCAAAGCAGAGCTGAACGGGATGACTGGTCTCTGTGGACGCAGAGTTTTGCTGCACAAATTAGTGTGGGAGCGGATTCCCTTTCTCCCACTCCGGGCAGCTTTTCAAAACGCGGCCACGACTGAAGTTGCTTCCTCTCCGAAGCCTGCTTTCCTTGCACAGTTTGAGATACTTGTTTCCCCTTGTAGTTTCTGTTCGCCATTGCCTTGGCTTTTGGGATGAAGAAGCGTTTGCCCTTCAAATCACGTTGTTAATTTCTTCCAGCTTCTAACTCAATCCATCTATTGCTCATTCCGTTCAGTTGGAAGTCTGTTCACATCTTATTCTAATTGGGAAGATCTGCTTCCTAACGGGGCTGTTGTGCTGTTCAGGTTTACCTTTCGGTTGAGTAACCTTTCCTCTTGTTCCCCCCGACCCACTTCTAGCATCCTGTGGCTCGAAGGTTCCTCCCGTTCTGGCTGTTTTGCGTTTTACGGCTGAAAGAACTTCTCGAGTATTTCTGAAGACTTTCAGAGTTTAGAGTTCTTTCCTGTTCTTCTATCTATTTCCTGATGAATCACTTTTTCATTCTATGTGGCTTTTTTGGATATTCGGTAGACTTTCCGCAAATGATTTCCAGCCACCCGTGTACATGAAAAGATAAGGCAGTCAGTGGGGAGACTGCCCCGCCAGTCTGCGCGCGCTGTGCCCTAGGGCGGGCGGGCCGCTGGGTGGAAGCCAGCCATCCTGGCCAGTCCCCCCCCTCCCGAAAGCCACAAAGTTAGTTGCTCTAAATATGTACCTGCAGGCGGACGTTGAGAATCACTGAGGCCACCACGTAGAAGTAGGGGAAGTTGGTGCGCAGCCGCCAGGCCAGGTCGAAGAAGATCATCAGTGTGCGCGTGAGCCCCTTGCAGAAGGCGCCGTAGGAGCCACGAGCCGCCCTGGAGCGCGACAGCCGCACCACCAGGCCGGATAGGGCCGCCGCTGCCGCCATCGGTCTGGTGTCGCCTCCCAAACGAGTGCAGGGAGCCCAGGGCTTCCACCGATCGACGGACCGAGGGATGCGCGCGGGGGCAATCCGCGTGGGGGGCCCACTGGGCTGCGGTAGATGCTAGCCGCGCTGCACCGCACACGCCCTCCTTCCTGGCTGTTCTCGGGCAGCGGCGATCCGTGATTGTTGGTGCTTTGCCGGGCCGCCAGGCTGAGCTGCCTCGGGGTCGAGCGGTGCGCTGGAGTGCGTGAGCCCCTGGATTTGGGAGGGAGAGGGGACCAGGGGCGGGGGGAGGACCCGAGGCTGGAGGCCGAGGAGGGAGGGAAGGAGGAGGGGCGCAGGGCTTTCCCGGGAGACTGGGCTTTCTCCTCCTGGTGGTCCTTTTTAATGGAAGCAAAACGAAACTTGCTCCAAACGTTAAAAGAGTTCCTTCATAAACATGATCTTCAATGGCTTAGAAGCGTGAACCCATTTCCTGTTGCCTCAAATCCCTTTAGGAATTTTTTTTCAATCCTCAACTGTGAGCTAGTAGGAACACACAAAACCTCTTTATTTTCTCAACTGTAAAATGTGTACCTTCTGCTGTAATTATTCAAACGACTTTGAAAATTTGGTTTTAGATCTTTAGTATTTTCTAATGGGAAAAGTTATGCAAACAAGTGGTTAGAAATTTTCAACAGTACAAACAATAAGAACAATGGGAAGCCGATTCCCTGCTTAGTTTCACATTCTTCACCCCGTCCCTGCCAGAACTACCATTCCGTTTACTGTATATACTTTCAGACTTGGTATGTTCAAACAGTGCTCTTTCCGAGTCAATAATATATAACTATCTCACTCTCTTGGACGACTGATCACTACCCTAACATCTATGCTGCCTAATAATGTTCAATCATTTATTTAACCAGTCCCCTATTGATGAACATTCTAAATGTTTCCAGTTTTTCTTATGCCAAACAGTGTTGCAGGGAATGTTACTGTAAGCATAAATTTTCAAGTGGCAGAAAAGAATGAGGAATATAATCCCGTTTTTATTTACACAAACAATCACATAAACATATATGTTTAGTGTTCGAGGTCAAAGAAGTTCTATTTTTTAATACATGTGGTTGATCAATACGACATTGAGTGTTAATCTTGGAATTTTTTCACCAATATGTAAGGTAATAATTAAGATTCATGACTCCTCTGATTTGCATTCACTTTAATTATCAATTAAGTTGCTGAGCAACTTTTCTAAATCTCTTAATCTTTTAGTGTTATTTTACTGATCACTTGTAAAACCTTGAAATATTATAAAAAATATAGTATAAGAATGGTACAATTCATCAGAAAGACTATTAACAGATTGGTATATGTTTTTATCAATTATTTACATATATTGGGGCAGCCCGGGTGGCTCAGGGGTTTAGCGCCGCCTTCAGCCCAGGGCCTGATCCTGGAGACCCAGGATGGAGTCCCACATCGGGCTCCCTGCATGGAGCCTGTTTCTCCCTCTGCCTGTGTCTCTGCCTCCCCCCCCTCCCTGTGTCTCTCATGAATAAATAAATAAAATCATTTAAAAAATTATTTACATATATTAATAAGCAAGGCATATACATATATCACACGCAAGTCACAGAGCAAAAAATGGAATCATAAACCTTCTGCCCTGACAATTGCGTTTTTAAAGGTTTTATATATTTATTTTAGAGAGAGAGCAAGCAGGGGGAGGAGCAGAGGGAGAGGGACAAACAGACTCCCCATTGAGCACAGAGCCCCACACAGGGTGTGATCTTATGACCCTGAGATCATGACCCCAGCAGAAACCCAGAATTGGCCGCTTAGCGGATTGAGCCACCCAGGCACCCTGACAATTGCTTTTAAACGTAATATATCTTGCATATCTTTCCATGTTGATACCTTATGGGCTAGGTATTATTCCTTATGGATGCCTAGTAGTAAGTCCTGGCCACTTTGCTTATTTTTATATTAAAATTTTTGCCTAAGGGCAGCCCCGGTGGCCCAGAGGTTTAGTGCCACCTTTGACCCAGGGCATGATCCTGGAGACCCCGGATTGAGTCCCACGTCGGGTTCTCTGCGTGGAGCCTGCTTCACCCTCTGCCTGTGTCTCTGCTTCTCTGTGTGTGTGTGTCTCTCACGAATAGGTAAATAAAATCTTAAAAAAAATAAAATTTTTGCCTAAGACAGGCAGAACAACACAAGCAGCCTGGAAATGATAAAATCTCAACCATTACCCTGGGAGAAACCAGAGAAGACAAAATAGTCTGTAGTGACGCATTAAGTAAAGGAAATGCCTCCTTCCTCACATTACATACTGACTATAAACAGCAATAGGCTAAAATTATTGTCTTTAGGAAAGTGTACAAGTCTCCTGGCTCTTCTTTCCCATGATAGAGTGCATATACCTTAAGTCTTCTATCTGTATCACCCACTCTTAGTACATATGGGAGGAACACATTTTTTTAACTGCTATATTGGGTCTAGAGATAATAGATTTAAATGTAATTGAAGGCTTTTGTAGTAGAAGACACCAAATTGAAGACAGGTGTTTACCTCTCCAAATCAAATCAAGAAGCAATTAGAAAGAAGTACCAAGTAGATTCATTCATAAAATTAGTAGAAAGAGTGAGGATAAAGGACCAAGAGTTTGAGAAATTCTCTGAATGAATGCAGATGGGCTCCATCTGAAGGATCAGTCTTTTTTTTTTTTTTAATTTTTTTTAATTTATTTATGATAGACATACAGAGAGAGAGAGACCGGCAGAGACACAGGCAGAGGGAGAAGCAGGCTCCAAGCACCGGGAGCCCGACGCGGGATTCGATCCCGGGTCTCCAGGATCGCGCCCTGGGCCAAAGGCAGGCGCCAAACCGCTGCGCCACCCAGGGATCCCTGAAGGATCAGTCTTACGGGAGGGCACCAGGGCCCAGAAAATCTCAGGCAAAGCCTAGGTGAGGCAGAGGCAGAAGCCAGTTTCCTGGAGGAAGCACCTTCACTCTCCAAGTATGGAGAGTGGAAATGGGAAGATGACATCAAAAGAGCTGGTTATTTGAAATCTATTTGAGGGATGCCTCGATGGCTCAGTTGGTGAAACATCTGCCATCGGCTCAGGTCATGAACTCAGGGCTGTGGGATCAAGCCCCACATTGGGTTCCATGCTCAGCAGGGAGTCTGCTTCTCCCTCTCCCTCTGCTGCTCCCCACCTTGTGCACTCTCTCTCTCAAATAAATAAAATCTTGGGGATCCCTGGGTGGCTTAGCGGTTTGGTGCCTGCCTTCAGCCTAGGACGTGATCCGGGAGTCCCTGGATCAAGTCCCACGTCGGGCTCCCTGCATTCTCCCTCTGCCTGTGTCTCTGCGCCTCTCTATCTGTGTGTCTCTCATGAATAAATAAATAAAATCTTTAAAACAATTTTTAAAATCTTAAAAAAAAAATAAAATCTATTTGAAAAATGGCTGAATAAGTGCATTTCTACCACCACCCTCCAACCGCCCCCCCCCAGCTAGTTATCTCCGGATGAAAATGGACAGTGTTTCTCTGAAGAGATTAGGTGATGTGCTTGAAAGGGAGAGGGGTCCAGAAGGGGTGGGGGTGGGGGTTGGAATTGGTGCCTGTGGTAGAGAGTAAAAATAGCAACAAATGTTTCCCTTTCCTGAATCCCATTTTGCATGAAATTTGCATATCTTCTCAACAAGAGGTGGTCTGTTTCTTTTTTCTTGAATCTACCATATGACTTGCTTTAGTCAACAGGATATTGGCAAAACTAGTGCAAGCACAGGGTTGGAAGGTGCTTATGCACTGGGGCCTGTACTCTTGCTAGTCTTGGAAACCTGCTACCACCATGTGAACAAAACAGATGAGACTTAGGTCCCAATCATCCCTGTAGCCCCAACTGATGGCCAACCAACCCTTAGTGGTCCTGTCACCAAGACCACCAGCAGCAACTGACCACAGACACGTGACAGTCTAGCTGACGCAAGCAGGATGGCCCGGCCCAAGCTGCCAATGACTAACAACTGTTATTAAATAAATGGTTGTTGTTTTAAGCCTCTAAGCTTGTAAGGGTTTGTTTTACAGCAAAAGCTAACTGATAACCATGCCCCAGAATAGAGTTACTGGGTAGAGTGGCCATCAAAGTGGTTTGGTTAACAGTGATCTTTGGTGGTGATTACTGGAATATGGAAGCCCTAGGACAGAAATAGAAGCATGTCCCATTTCATGAAAAGAATTCTGGCAAACAAGAGCGCTTCGGTGGCTCAGTCGGTTAAGTGTTTGACTCTTGATTTCAGCTCAGATCTTGATCTCAGGATCCTGGGATTGAGTCTTACATCAGGATCCTCACTCAGAAGGAAGTCAGCTTTGGTTTCCCTCTCTCTCTGCCCCTCCCCAATGCTTACTTATGTTTTGTCAGTCTAAAAGAAATAAATAAAATCTTTTTAAAAAAGAAAAGAATTCTGCCAAACAATCGGGTCACCACGATAGTGTCACAGCCCCTCAGATCAGCCTGCTTCTCCTTCTGCCTATGTCTCTGCCTCTCTGTGTTTCTCATTAATAAATAAAAATTTTTAAATCTTTAAAAAATAAATGGAGTTTTGGCTTAAATCCAATGTATAGTAGGCCCAGTGGGTACACAAACTCATGCTGTGGTAATTTCCCCTGTTCCTGGGTTTTCAGTTGTAATAGAACCAGCAACTGGCCAAACATGCCAACTGGCTCCCTGACCTGTGCAGTGAGAATTTTTCTGTTAAGAAGGGCCAGATGGGGGCAGCCTGGCTGGCTCAGTGGTTTAGCGCCGCCTTTGGCCCAGGGTGTGATTCTGGAGACCAGGGATTGAGTCCAGTCCAGCGTTGGGCTCCCTGCATGGAGCCTGCTTCTCCCTCTGCCTGTGTCTCTGCGCCTCTCACTCTGTGTCTCTCATGAATAAAGAATCTTTAAAAAAAAAAAAAAAAGAGGGATCCCTGGGTGGCGCAGCGGTTTGGCGCCTGCCTTTGGCCCAGGGCGCGATCCTGGAGACCCGGGATCAAATCCCACGTCGGGCTCCCGGTGCATGGAGCCTGCTTCTCCCTCTGCCTGTGTCTCTGCCTCTCTCTCTCTCTCTCTCTCTCTGTGTGACTATCATAAATAAAAAAAAAAAAGACGGGCCAGATGGAAGGCTGGAACTGCCCTCCCCTTTCCAATGACAGCACTCACAGCAAACATACAAAGCACTTACTTTCTG